TTTGACATGAAAGCCAGTCAACTCACCGTATAGACAAGTAAAGTTAGACTCCACTACCCTTTTAGGTTTTACACAAATATTTTTAAATTATTTTAAAATACCTGCTCATTGTTTATAGTCTGTCCATAGGTTGACCAATAATAACAATGTTTTCACAAATGATTTAACTTTATAAAGATTGGATCATGGTTTATACCACATATTTCATGAAAGTAATACAGTCTATCTTATTTCTATTTTTCCTGCTAACAAAAACTTAACATGCAAGCATATATCCTAAAGAAATATCCAGGGTTAGGATGATATGTTCAATACAAATTTGTAAAGTCAAACAAAAAGAGTGCTATTGTTTAATTTTATACTATTAGATGTTGCTAGTTTTAGCTGTTCCTCTACTCAGAGGTAATGAAACTACCACAATTATTCACTCAGAAGCAATGAAATTTGTATTTACTAATCTATCTCAGACTGTTAATGCAAATTTAATATATGCAGATAAGGATGAGGCATAATAGTTGTTTCACATAATATTGTTCTCTCCATTAATGTCCTTCTTTATTCCTAGAGTAAATGTTGTAATATGGTACCTGGTCATTTAGGAAATAAAGTAGTAATACATTTTGCACTAGTAAGCCAAGGGTCAACCTCCAGACTTTTCTAGGATAAACTTCCTCTATGCTATTTGGAAATAGTGCCATTTGATCATAGCTGAGTTGTCCCAATCGGCAGTTTCATTTTAATGGCATGTACTCCCCACTGCTCTCAGCTCTGCCACAGACATCTTTGGCTTTCTTTCTCTTCAACCCTAAGTACTCATTCCATAAAATGTTGCACTGGCTTCAGTTGAAGCATTCAAAGCAGAAAAAATAACAGAAAACCAAAAGCAGTTCTCCAAAACCAAAAGCCGTTCTTTTAAAAGACTGCTTTTAAAACACTCAAACTCCAAGCTAATTATCAACAACGATCTAAAGCATAAAGGGACTTCGGGATAATTTTCAGTGTCAGTAATCACAAATGACTAAGAATAACTTATTCCGTTAGATCCTTGTAACAGCCCGTATGCATGTACATATGCACTGGAAACAGTTTTTATACTCTCAGGTTAAAATCTTGAAAACAATTATCTAATAAGAATCTTCAAGTATCTGTTGAAAAAAATTCTGATTTCCCAGCCCCTTCCCTGCAGTTTCTTCCCTGTAATTTGTATGCTAATTATTGCTTCTAGTTATTTTTATTATCTGACAGTTGAGAAATATTTTTCTGAAACAAATGGAAAGATCTTTCTGGAAAAGATTCTATGGCTCAATTGAGGCTAGTGAAGGAATCAGATTAGAGCCTGGAGTAATTGTACCTCTACAAAACTAGCATGGGAAAATTAATTGTGAAAAAGGAAGGAGAAAAGGAAAAGGGAAGGAAAAGACAGAGGAAGGCAGAAAAGAAAAGGTGGATTAGGACCCTAGGATATCGTGATTCATGATTTGCTAACAAACTCAGCTAAGGACTTCATTTTTCTGAAGTGGGGTATCTGGAAAAAGATATGGAACCGGGATTGGTGAGGAAGTCAGTACACTTATTTACTTACAGTCTCTCCCTATTGGTATCCAAATATAAGAAGGAAAAAAAACTAGCAATTTGGAAAACCAAATCCTCAGAAATGTTACCAACTTCAGTATAGCATCTATAGTTTAACCAAAAAGAAGAAATATAAATCAAGGACATAGAAATATAGAATATATATATTTTATTTACATATTTAAAAAATTATATATATATATAATTACAATGACATATTCAGTGAGAAAAAAAGAGATTAAGTGTCCATTAAATATTTTTAAAGAAAGAATTATTCCAAGAAAAAAGAGTGGCATCTTCCAGTATTCTACCTGGATGATGTAGTTATTAAGCCAAATTCAGGAAGGAGCCAAACCAGGAGGAGGCAAGTGGAGATAGACGGTGTCTCCACTATGTGTATTGACTTTCCCATACTGTTCACAGCGTAACACTATCATGTCTCCATAATAAAATAACACTACCACATACTCTGTGTTGACATCTAAGTGCCTAGCACAATCCTGTAAAGATGATGGTGATTGTAAACAAAAACTTGAGATTTTCTTACGAGAAAGTCAAATAAATGACTAAATTTACTATAGTTTTGAATAAAGCAAGAAATAGTAACATAAATAAATTATTTACAAATATGGATGTAAATGCCAGAATAAATATCCAAATAAATGAAAGCACTTGAATCTAAAACGTGGAATTGGGAAATGGAAATGTAAAGTATGGTAATCTTGTTTATGGAATATGACTTGTTGGGGTTTGACTTCTTAAACTATGTATATATATCTTTTTATATAAAATTTAAAAAGTCAAAGATAAGCTTAATAAAGAAAATTAGTCACTTTATAAACTCAAAGACAACACACACCAAAAAAGGAAAAAGGGAGAAAAGAAGAAAGAAAAAAGAGAAGAAGGGAGGGAAGAGGGAAGAAAAGGAAGACAGAAGGACGTAAAGAAAGGCAAGTTAAATAAATGTTCATTAAAATATTACATATTGTATCTAATATCAGACAAAGGGCAAATTTGAGGCAAAGAACAAATAATAAAAAGGTCAATGGGAAATAATCCTTCTAAAAATTTATGAAGATATTTATTTTGCATTTGAATCTAGGTCTATGCAAGTGTCAATAAAGCATAAATTTATAGCATCACAATAATTATTTTTGTTTGTTGCAAATTACTTTTTTGAAGTATATAAGACTAATATTAGTGTTTGACAACGAAAAACTCACAAAACCATAACAAATATGACTATTAATGCAAGGATATTCAATAAGACATTACTGAACAGAATTATACATTATAAGGACAATACTGTATGACAAAGTAGGGTTGTTTCAGGAATGCAAGGAATGTTTAATATTGGGAAATAATTAAAATAACATGACCAAATCATAGCTGTTGACAAAAATTATCATCATCCCCAGTAAAAATTACTGTCATGGTCAGGCAGAGTGGCTCACACCTGCAATCCCAGCACTTTGGAAGGTGGAGGTGGGAGGATCACTTTAGCCCAGGAGTTCAAGACCAGCCTGGGCAACGTGGCAAAACCCTGTCTTTATTTAGGAAAGAAAGAAAGAGAGAAAGAAAGAGAGAGAGAGAGAGAAAGAGAGAAAGGAAGAAATTAGCAAGGATGGTGCTGTCCAAAAGTAGTCCTAGCTACGAGGTAGACTGAGGCAGAAAGATCGTTTGAGCCCAGAAGCTTGAAATTACAATGAGCTATGATTGCACCACTGCACTCCAACCTGGGTGACAGAGCAAGACCCTGTCTCTAAAAAATAATGCAATTCAAAACAAAATTAAGCACAATGATTAAGTTGGAACCTCAGAAGTCTTCCTTTTAAAGTCTGGAACAAGACAAGAAAGTCAAAAGTAGTAAAAAGGCATTGGAAAGGAGGCAAAACATTGCCATTGTATTTTAGATAATATGATTATATATGTAGAAACCCCAGGTTTAATATTACAAATAAACTTAAAATCTAGTATTTTCATTTTATAAAATCAATGTGTAAGAATGAATAGTTTCTAGCACACAAACAACAATCAGTTATTATTGGAATTTAGTTCCATATTTATGGAAAAACAAACAATATTGCACACATGGTAATAAGCAATAAGTCAAAAGTATGGAAAGCATATGATAAAACACTAATGAGGAACAAAATAAAATATGTTAATAAATGGAAAGATGCATCATATTCCTGGATACAAATGTTCATTTTATAAAGTTGTCAATATTTCCTAAACTGACTCCTCAATTTATTGGGATACTAAATAAAATAAAAGATTAGTAAATGACAAACCAACATTAAATTCAATTGGGAAAAAATTCAAGAATAGTAAAGAAATCCATCAAAATTAAAACTTGATAGTTGGTACTACTTTAAGACATTTGAAATGTATTATAAAGCTTGAAGAATGAAATTAAACAAGAATTGAAAATAAATCAAGAGGGTATACATCACTTATTTCAGTTCACGACATTACAAATTTTTAAAACAAAAGAATATTTTTTAAAAATATTTAAAAGAATTAAGATACTCAACTATCCACAGACAAGAAATGAATTACATTACAAGAATATTTAATTTTCCAGAATTTTATACATAGATTAACAATATTAACCATCATACACCTTTACCCTATCATAATTAACCTTCATGTAACTTTTCACATATGTGAAAAACTTACCACAGTTCACTTTCATTTCCTTCTCTTATTCTTGTCCTATTATATTTTACATCAAAATATGTTATAGATCCCCAAATTTATGAAATTTATGATTACTTTTGCTTTAACTATCAATTGACCTTTTTTTTTTTTTTTTTTTTTGAGACAGAGTCTTGCTCTGTTCCCCAGGCTGGAGTGCAGTGGCATGATCTCTGCTCACTGCAACCTCTGCCTTCTGGGATCAAGTGATTCTCCTGCCTCAGCCTCCCAAGTATCTGGGATTACAGGCATATACCACCATACTCAGCTAATTTTTGTATTTTTAGTAGAGACAGGGTTTCACCATGTTGACCAGGCTGCTTTCAAACTCCTGACCTCAGGTGATCCACCCACCTCGGCCTCCCAAAGTACTGGGATTACAGGCATGAGCCACCACACGCAGCACAATTATCTTTTACAGAGAATAAAACTAAAAACAAAATAACATATTTTTACCCAGTTTATCATTTCCAGAATTCTTAATGTTTTAAGTAAATTTAGATTTTTATCTTGTGTAATTTTTTAAAGCTTCCTTGTATATTTTTTATAGTTTAGATGTGTAGACAATTTCATCAGCTGTGTGTGTGTGTGTGTGTGTGTGTGTGTGTGTGTGTGTATGTCCCTCAACGGCAGTCTATCACCACCTTGTATTCATGCAGGGCCCAGAGCATGAATGGACTTCTCCAAGTACTCTTGTCAAACCTCAAACATTGACAAGTCTTGCTTACCTGTACCTCTAAGAAGGGCTTTTCCATGTCTCTTGCCTTTTCACCAATCTTTCTCTTGAAATACCTGACAAAAGCCCATAAAAAAATACTAGTGAGTGATTGGATATACCCCTCTTTCTGGGGTTCTCAGGATTCTAAAATGTCCCAACAGCCCATACTCAGCTTTTATAAAAGCTATTTTAAATTTGGCTCTATATTATCCAAGTAACTCAATCTAGCCTCTTATAGTCTTAAGGATTTCAAAAATACTAATTTGCTTTCCCACAAACAGTGTGTAAGTGCTCCCTTTTGTCCTTATGCTTGACAACGTCCATTATTTTGTGAATTTTTAATGATAGCAATTCTGATAGGTGTAAGATAGTGGTTTTAATTTGCATTTCTCTGATAATTAGTGATGGTGAGCATTTTTTCATATGCTTATTGACTGTTTGCATGTCTTCTTTTAAAAAATGTTCATTTTCTTTGCCTACTTTTTAATTGGTTATTTGTTCATTGTTGTTGTTGAATTGTTTGAGTTCCCCATTAATTCTGGATATTAGTCCCTTGTGGAAAACAATATGAAGATTTCTCAAAGAATTAAAAAATAGAATTGCCATTCAATCCAGCAACCACACTACTGGGTATCTACCCCCTGAAAAAAATTATATGCAAAAGATAACCTGCACTCACATGTTTATCGCAACACTATTCACAGTAGCAAAGACATGGAATCAATCTAAGTGTCCACAAATAGATAATTAGAGAAAGAAAATATAAAATATATATACAATAGAATACTACTCAGCCATAAAAAAATGAATGAAATCATGTATTTTGCAGCCTTGAGGCTTTTAAGTGAAACAACTGAGACACAGGAAGTCAAATATTGCATGTTTTCACTTACAAGTGGGAACTAAATAAGGTATACACATGGACATAGAGTGTGGAATAATAGACATTGGAGACTTGTAAGGATGGAAGGGTGCTAGAGGTGTGAGGAATGAGAAATTTCTTAATGGGTGCAGTGTAACGTTATTTGGGTCATGGTTACGCTAGAAGCTCAGACTTCATCACTGCACAATACCCACATCACAAAACTGTACCTGTTCCCCTTAAATTTATACAAATGTTAATATTTTTAAAACACTTTAAATTCTGTTTAAATTTCTTATTATTTAAATTTAATTAAAATCATCAAATCAGTAAATTTAAATCCCTTATTATGAGAAATAATCTTTCCCACAACATAATACACCAAAAATATTTCAAGTTTATTTGCTACTCACTGTCACCATGGCAATACTGTGCCAGACACATTAATAAAATGTCTATAAATTTTAAAATAAATATATCTTTGGTTGTATTTTTAAGTAGTGAATACTAAAGTTATGCAGTTTCCTAACTGTAGTAGACAGAAACCAGCTCAGTTTTAACATATTTGACATGATACATTTTGTATCTGAAGATCCATTTGAGATTATCAGGCTATGATAAATACAAAAATTTTACTTAAATCCTACTGTGTAAAATAAGATGTAAAAGTTAACGAAGTCTTCAGCTATAAATAACTACTCTCTCATCCAAAAAAAAAAAAGTAACTCTTAAACCAGTGGTGATCAAACTGCTTCATGTTAGAGCTATTTGGGGAGCTTTAAAGATTCCCAATGCATCCTATATGAATTAAATCATAATTTCTAGGGATAGAACACTGGTGTCTCAAATATTCAAAACTCTTCAGGAATGTTCATTCTGCAGTCAAGTTTAAGGGCCAGTGGCTTAAACAAGATAGGAGGCAATTCTCTGTTATATAAAAAGCAGGTTGGAGTTTATATGCAGCTATACACGGTCCTCAGGGACTCAGACTCCTCTTTTTCCACAGTTCTACCTTTAAGAACCTAGCTTTTATCTTCAAAGTCACTTCAGTGTCAAAAATGACTATTAAATCTCCAGCGATTATAGTTGTGCTTCAGTCAAGCAATAGGAGAAAGTAGGAGAGGAAAAAAAAAAAAAAAAAAAAAAAAAAGCTTTAAGCTCCTTCCACTTATGGAACCTTCCCTGAAGTCCTACCTAGCTAATACTTTTATATAAGTGAGCAGAAGTTGGACATATGAACAGACCTAGCAGCAATGAAAACTGGGAAACATTTTCTTCTAGCTGGTCACATTACTCAGTTTTCTCTTACAAAAGAGATTGAATGCTGCACTCAAGAACAGCCTTTTTCATACCAGGCTTAACTCACTGCCAAAATGTTTCCATTCATCCTTCACATGTTGGAATTATAAAAAATATTTTATATCAGGAAAATTTTCAAACTGATGGGATAGTTGAAATGTCTTTTTTTAACTATTTTTTTTTCTGATCCAAGTTAATGTTGTATTATATTTTTCCCCAGTTTCTTTATTCCATTGAAATAAGATCCTTTTTAATCTCTATTAAAAAGAATGAAGGAAAGATAAATTAATTCTCAAATTTGACAACACATGGGGTAGAGAGTTAGCAACATGTCTGAAGAAATTAATAATTGTAGATATAGACCAAGTATTTTATTATCTTTGATAAGTCAGTCAAGCTCCCAAGTATGCAAGTTGATATTCGAAAGTAAGTTCGTAGGTATTAGAAAGGTGTTCATCCGTGTATGTTTCTAACTATAAGTAAGATATTTATTCATCTATCACGAGTTACCTTTCCAAATATCCATCTCTTTTATACTGTTGAAACAATAAAGTTTGAATTCCAGTTATGTCACTTGGTATCTACACATCTTTTTCATGCAAGAAAACGCATCACATTGCTATAAAATTCATACATAAGCCTTCTTTCTTTTTCTTCCTGCAAACTCATGAAAGCCCTAGTCATTCGCTAAAGAAGCAGCAGTTCAATAACTAGCAAGAGAATAGAAACAGAAAGATTGAATGTTACTCCTTTTTTTTCATAAAGATAAGGGAAAATGGGATTCAATTCCATTTGCACTTTAAGGACCCTTTAACACTGCTCCATGTAGCATTTTGAATACCTCGAAGTCAGATAAGTAAAATAAATCTCCCTGTAGGCTAAGATGAAAAAATATTTATTCCATAACTTTGAATTTATATTAAAATGATGAAAAAACTTTTGTACCCATGTATCATACACATTGTTCAAAACTCTTAATACTAAAAACTTTTCATAACTAAGTGTTGTTAATAAAATTACATGTTATAATTTGTTATATAGAAATTTTATTTAAACAATGTATGTGCAAGCCAGATAACTTTTTGAGTAAAAAATTATTCAAAGTAATAAACTAAAAAGAATATAATTCTTCCAAATAATGTGAACCAAATTACTTTCTAGTAGGCAACAGAAGATGCCATGTAATTTGTTTTATTACAGAAAAATAAATGTATTTTCTGAGCTTAAGACTGAAGTTTTAGAGCAATAGAATGAAAGTGCTAATTAACATGTACCTGGCACAGCTTGACTAGGACGCAACTTCCGAAATAACTTTTTTGAACTTTTAGAAAATATTATGCAATATCAAAAAAAGCCTGGTCCAGATCAAAGTGAAGACTAACTTAAAAGTTCATTTGAATTTTTAGTTTTTAAATCTAGTCAAAGATACCAGAACATGTTTTATTGATATTCAATTAAATTAGAATGAGAACTAGGAACCAACAAGTTTGACCCTTATGCCTCTAAATCAAATTGTTTGGTGTAGCCTTCACCAACTGAAATCTCACAATTGTTGAGACTAAGAAAGATAAACATGCAAGGTGTGTTTTAATATTATAATATTATAGATGCTCTCAAAATGTGTTATTTAAAATGTTAAAAAATAGTCTATTCTATGAGCAACTTAAAGACATATTCGAAAAATATTTATGTTAATATGCATATCAGCAGTTAGACAAAAGAACCAAAATATATTAACAGTTTACAATCTCAACTCAAAACATTTCTTTCAAAAACTGGTAAGGAATCACACTCTGCTTGAAATTAATTATAGATCTTAGGCATATATAGCTCTCAGGTATGTATACAGAGTCTCATAAAATATTTGGGTTCCTGACGCTTAGGAGTCCTCTTTTGTGCTGCAATCCACAGTGTGTGTACAGGTGTCACTGACTCCCTTTATATCACCTTGTGGGAATTGGGGCTCAGGGAATTGGCATAAAAATGTTGATATTCTTGATACTGTTATTGCTTTGATAATGAACCATTCTTTACCTCTGGTTATAGAGTCTGCCACTAGAATCAGTAAAATTGTAGCAGGTTAATTTTGTATGGCAAAATGTCAGACCCCTCACAATTCTTGACATCTGGTTCCATTTAAAAATACGTAATTTAAAAGCTTAGCTATATGTTAATAGGCTACATTTTAGAAACTTCACGTCATATGTAGTTTTTTTATCATTAGAAGATGTAGAAAATGTATTTAGCTAAAAAAACACATAATGTCAAATTCAATAATCCAGAGATTTGATGTATTTACATCCACATATTTTTAGATTGGTAGTTTTAAGTTATAATTTAAGTAATAGTATAAGTAATATTTTGGTCTACTTATTTAGACTTATTACTACATGTAAAGTTCTTAAAATTTAGCCTGCAACCATATAACTAAGCTTTATATTGTATACAATGCACCCACAATGGTCATTTCAGAAAATACTATGTGCTCTTTGCAGCCCATTTGAATAATTTTAAAGATTATATACATATATATGTATACTATATATAAATAAAACCATACTGTGGAGACTAGAAACACATACATTAAGCTTACGATTTTATCATAATGACATGAAAGGCCATACAAAATTGAATCATGTTAGAGATTTGCAAAATATAATTCTTCTACTTCCCAACTTTCTTTCTTCGTTTTTTGAGACAGAGTCTTGCTCTGTCGCCAGGCTGGAGCGCAGTGGTGTAATCTCAGTTCACTGTAACCTCTGACTCCCTGATTCAAGCAATTCTCTTGCCTCAGCTTCTCGAGTAGCTAGGATTACAGGAATGCGCCACCAAGCCCAGATCATTTTTGTTTTTTGTTTTGTTTTGTTTTGTTTTGTTTTGTTTTGTAGAATCGGGGTTTCATCATGTTGGCCA